CTTGGAGTTGTTTCTAAGTAGAACCAACATCAAAATCATCTATTTTGGAAAAATCAGATTCATCGAACAATTTTTTGGCCAACAACTGTTTGAGACTGCATTCCAACCTGAGTGACAGAGTGAGACCCTGTCTTAAATAAATAAATAAATAAATAAATAAATAAATAAATAAATTGCAAAATCTGTTCTTGGAGTTGTTTCTAAGTAGAACCAACATCAAAATCATCTATTTTGGAAAAATCAGATTCATCGAACAATTTTTTGGCCAACAACTGTTTGAGAGTGATGTTAACATCACACATAGAAACGCTGCGTTTTCTAGGATTTGACATTTTCAGCAATCGAGAAGTACTGTGTTTTGTAAATGGGAATACCACTACTAAAACCATAATGCTATAAATAGAATGATGTCTTCTGTTTCCGAAGTCTTTGCAAAAATAAAAGCAAGATATTTCATGGCAAACTTATCCTGAGGTAAACAACTGCAGCTGTTAGTGCTGCCAGGCAAGTATTCTCAGGGCAAACAGGAAAAGGGTTAATGTGCATCTCTCTCTAGCAAGTCATATGACGTCTCTAGGCCTCCATTGTATCAGCCATAAGGTAAAAGCCTTGGAATAGTTCTCAGGTTATCAACTGCTTTTTAACAAACGACCCCAGAACTTAGTGGCTTTTAAAACAGCTATTTTGTTCTCAATTCTGTGAGTTAGGAATTTGGGAAGGGCTCAGCCCAGCAGTTTGTTTCGGATCCCTGTGGCATCAGGTGAAATGCTGGGTTAGAGAATTCACTTCCAAGATAGCTTCTTCACTAATCGTTGGTGCCTTTTGCTCCTTGTCCTCTCTCTCTCTGTCTACCCAGCATCTTATCCTCCAGGGCCTTTTCCTGTATCTTGGGTTTCTCACAGCATGGTTTTCTGAGAGTAGTCACTTTTTTTTTACATGACAGCTAACTTTCAAGTAGCAAGAAGCAAAAGGTGCCAGGCCAGTTGGGCTTCATCAGACTGGCACGTATCACCTCTACTGTGTGCATTTGTTGAAAGCGGTTACAGGATTCACCCAGTGTCGAGGCTGGAGAGATAGACTTCACCTCTTGATAGGGAAATTGCAAAGTCACATTGCAGATGAGCATGTAGGATGTGCCTGTAAATAGTAAATTGTCTCTCTTTATGCGTATGTATATGGTCACCAGTGAATTATAAATTTTGTTAATATGACGGATGTATAGCACACAATTTACAATAATAATGTTTTGTAAATTCCATATCTCAGTTGATTCTCACAGAATGCTTTCATTGATTTTTGCCATACTAGATCAGCGGCAGCCAACCTACTACTGCAAATAAGGACTTCATCTTATTCATGGTTAAGTCAACTTTGGTGGCATTATCTTCTTTCATTCCAGTAGACTCTTCATAAATAAAAATGAAAGAATTGTTAATCCCAATCACAAACTAGAATAATTTGTTTTTCAAGAGGCTCATAATAATGACATTTTATTGACTCTACAGTGTACAAAGAACTTTCAAATATGCTCTTGATTAATGCTCATGATTTTGTGAAGAATTTCCTCCTGGTTTTCCAGATAAGAAAACTGAGGTTTGGAGTGAAGTGACTCACTAAGGGTCACACTGCTAATGAGGGCATAGCCAAGACTAGAATACCTGTCTTGTAACTCCAAGTGTACCGCTTTTCACTTCCTCTGCTGAAACCTTACATTTGGAGAAGAAATTTAAAATGAACATCAAGACAGGATTCTCTGGCACTATTCAAATTAAAATACCTCCTTTCGGCTGGGCGCGGTGGCTCACGACTGTAATTCCAGCACTTTGGAGGGCCAAGGTGGGTGGATCCGAGGTCAGGAGTTTGAGACCAGCCTGCCCAACATGGTGAAACCCCGTCTCTACTAAAAATACAAAAATTAGCTGGGTATGGTGGCGCATGCATGTAATCCTAGCTGCTCGGGAGGCTGAGGCAGGAGAATCACTTGAACCCGGGAAGCGGAGGTTGCAATGAGCCAAGATCGTGCCACTGCACTCCAGCCTGGGCGACAAGAGCGAAACTCCAACTCAAAAAAAAAAAACAAAAACAAAACAAAACAAAAAAACCTTTCAAGGAAGAATGTTTGATAGATGTTAATTGGTGAGTGGTATAGAGCATCCTCACTCTTTCTCCTTCTGGTTCTACGCATCAGTTTTTGCAGTAAGCAAAAGCGTCCTCACTGTTGATCGGGGACAAACTGGACAGCCGTGTCACAGAGGACTCAGGCTCACACATATTTCTCTGCTTGCTTCTTCATTTCCAAAAGTCAATAGCAAGCATTATTGTCATAGTTCCTAGTCACAGGTTCCCCATACAAACTACAGGGGCTGAGGAATATATTTGGGGAGAAGAGACAATCTGTGACACGGACTTAAATATGGCATTGAAAGGAGTGTTGAGGGAAAAGCTTGTGTATTGCAGAATGATGGTTAGTTATGAGAAAGAGCCAGAGAGAGGCCTCAGGGCTTTCTTCTGTCTGTTCCCTTTTCTAAAATTTATTATTTTCCAACCACAAAGAAGACTTTTTATCTCCCAGTGAAGTCGCTCCCTGTGACTTATCATTCTTTGTTTTGGCTGAAGAGTCCATTTTGCCTAGAGGTTACAGGGGTGTTTTTATTAGCACCTTTTTCAAAACATGAGTAAAACATTCTTTGTAGAAAAGTTAGGAAATGAAAATAAGCAAAAATTTGAAACCACAAACCATCTGTAATCCTGCCACTATTTGTTAACAGATAACTAATGTTAACATTTCAGTCTGAATGGCGTAAGCATCCCCTCAAATACCAAAAATTACGTGACACGGATTATGTGTTCTTTAAATAGCAATGCATTCTATTTGATATTTTCTTTGGGTGGCTTTAAGGACTATGCTGAAATTATAAGTTCTATTTCTATAAACTTTCAATATTAAAGAACATATAAGCGACTGCCTTCTCAGTAGCTCTCTGGCAGCTAGTCAAAGCCATGTTGTGGGCAATATTCAGTGCAGAACTTTCCATAGGAAAATGGTATTGCTTCTCAGAAAATGTCATGACCTGCACTTTCCTTGTGGTCATCGTAGGCGGGGGATGTTCCGTGTGATTCATAGACCAGACTCAAAGGATGAGTTTAGCAAAGGCCCACTCCCACTCCCCCTTGCCAAGGGCACTTGAAGGAAGTCTATCATGGTTTTACTTTGGCTATAGTACTACATTACATTTATTACACCTTAAAAGAATGTCTAAGCTGGGTATGGTGGCTCATACCAGTAATCTCAGCACTTTGAAAAACTGAGGCAAGAGGATCACTTGAGCCTAGAAGTTCAAGATCAGCCTGGGCAATATCTTGAGACTCCGTCTCTACAAAAAAAAATTTAAAAATTAGCTGAACATGGTGGCACATACCTGTAATCCCAGCTACTCGGAATGCTGAGGTGGGAGGATCACTGCAGCCCAGGAGTTTGAGGCTGCAATGAGCCATGATCTCACTACTCCACTCCAGCTTGGGTGACAGAGCGAGAGCCTATCTCTTTAAAAAAAAAAACAAAAAGGTCTGCTTCATTGATGCTGTATGTATGGGGGTAATATATGACCTAAATAACAATCCTGTTTATCTGTTTTTTTTTTTTTTTTTCCTGTTTAGGCAGCAATAAGGAAAGAACTAAATGAATTTAAAAGCACAGAAATGGAAGTTCATGAAGAGAGTCGACAGTTTACAAGGTAGGTGACAAAATGCAGTTTAGAAATTGAGAATGCTTAAGATGTGATCCCATCTTAAGTTGGTTAAAAAAAAGAAATTGCCTACAATGGTAAATTTTATGATAGGTATATTTTATCACAACTAAAAAATGTTTTTAAACAGTTTAGCTTAAAACCATCTTATGAACATTTCCGCTTCTCTCACATTCATCCTTGCTTCCTTTTAAGAACCTAACAATCTGTGTGACAGTTTTAAAGATATTACTAGATAAGACTGTAAATTTCTAGAATTTCATAATAAACTCAGCTATCTCCTTCAAGAACGCTAAAACTAATCATGCTGAATAAGAATTTCTAAAATTAAATCTTTTCTTTCAAGGAAGTCTGAATCATTCCATAGGGCTACATTTTGGTTCCTTTCTTCGTTTTTTTCTGGGCCTGAAGACATCATTTATTCTGCTCTTGAACAGACTTACTTGAAGTTGTATGCCCAGAATAGATGCTGGCGAGAGTCAGTGTGGGCACATATATAACACTTTGGTTTCACAATAGACATAACATAGGATTGAAGCTGACTTTTCAGAAGATACAACTTTAGAATGGGAATCCTGATTTTATTGGTGCCATAGGATATTGCTATCGTCTTACCATTTTTCCGCTAGTCCCCTTCGGTTTCTTTCACAGGTTACCAAACCCAGAAAGGACCTGAGTGATCATATAGTCTGAACCCCTCACTTCACAGGTGTTCTGTTTATTTCTGTCTTAAGGATGAATGTACTTTGCTTTGTATAACAGGTGTTTCTAAAAATTTGCAAGCAAATCAAATCTTTAAAAATCAAATCAATAAAAAAATTACCAGGATAGATGACCAATGACATGAAAAAGATCATGATAGGTCTTTGTGGAAAACGAATATTGATCCCCTAAGCTACAGCCATACATCCCGGTGCCACTGTTCCTGCAGTCCCGGTTATGATGGCACTGTGTACTGGGAGCATGTCACAATATAAAGGAAGCTGCTGTATAACCTCCAACTTTAACAGCAAACTTCCCTGAAATTGATGGGGGAGCAGTGAGGTTTGTTATTGTAGACTTACTCCACAGCTTTTCTTCCTATGTTACTGTCTTGTGTGCCAGGGCAACTCCCCTTTCTTTCAGGGTTACTGTCGGCCTTCCGTATCTATGGGTTCCCCATCTGCAGAATCAACTGACCACAATCCAAATTTTTTTTTTTTTTTTTTTTTTTTTAGACAGAGTCTCGCTCTGTCACCCAGGCTGGAGGCACAATCTCAGCTTACTGCAACATCCACCTCCCGGGTTCAAGCGATTCTCCTGCCTCAGCTTCCCAAGTAGCTGGGATTACAGGCATGTGCCACCATACCTGGCTAATTTTTGTATTAATAACAGAGACAGGGTTTCACCATGTTGGTCCAGCTGGTCTCAAACTCCTAACCTCAAGTGATCTGCCCGCCTCAGTCTCCCAAAATGCTGGGATTACAGGCATGAGCCACCACACCCAGCCCAAAATATTTTTTAAAACAAATACAAAATAACACCACAACAATAAAAATAACACAGATCATAAAATGATACTGTATAATAGCTATTTATACAGCACTTACATTATATTAGGTAGTATAAGTAATCTAAAGACGATTTAAAGTATATAAGAGGATGGGTGTAGGTTGTATGTAAATTCTACACCATTTTATATCAGGGACTTGAGGAATTCATCGATTTTCATATCTGAAGGGGTCTTGGAATGAATCCCCTGCAGACACCAAGAGCTGAATGTACTTCTTCTTTATTTGTTTATGTCCTCCTATGTCATTTGTTTGTATATACATGTAGAGTATTCCAACATCCTGAATGGATTTTTATCTATTTGAGGGCTTTATTCTATCATAATGTACTCTGAGACCAACAACGTGTCCCTATGAAGCCAGACTTTTTTTCCCCCTCTTTTCTCCCTTCCACTTCTGAGGTAGGGAAAAATGTATGCTAAAATGTGACACCTGTAGCTGCTCTTCTGAAGTAAAGTTGATCATTGAAAAGTGGCTCAATATTTGGGGTGACCTCATGCTGACTGGGGCCTCCGGGCAACTGGGAAGATGGAGTGCTTGGTGCAGTTGAGTCCTGACCCCTGAGCTGCAGAGTCTGCACTCAACCCACACATTATCATTCGGGATAGTTTTGCTTCTGTGTAGTTTTCCTAGAAGTTGGAGTATCTGATAGCCTTATCTTCATTTGATAGCATGATATAAAGAATAAATTACAGTCAAAAAGAATCGAATTGTAAAAGTACATTTTTATGGAAGTTCTCATTTTATGAAAAATAAATATGTATACTAAAAGAGGTTCTTTCTATTCTGTTGTGCTCTATATGAAGAAGTACAATAAAATTGGGGTACAGGGAGAAGTAAGCGTCATTTTGTTTTAGTGGGGGTATTTTTTTTTTTTTTTGGTAGAGATGAGGTCTTGCTATGTTGCCCAGGGTGGTCTTGAACTCCTGAGCTCAAGTGATCCTCCCACCTCAGTCTCCCAAAGTGTGATTACAGGCGTGAGCCACTGCACCTGGCCTCTTTTTTGTATTTGTATTTGTATGTACAAAAATAATATATTCTAATTAAGCATTCAAGCAATACAAAATTCTATTAAGTATAAATGAAAACCCTTCACTCCTTTCCCAACCTCATTTCTATTCTCACAGGTATCCACTAGTAAAAGCTTGATGTAGATCCTTTTAGATGTTTTTCCATGCATTTATAAACGTGTGTGTGTATATATATAAAATATGTGTACGTACATGTATGCATTTATATGCACCCTCTCTCACACATAAACACAGCATCTAAGAAATCTTTTCTATAATAATATATATCTCATTGAGCTAGATGCAGTGGCTCAGGCCTGTAATCCTAGCACTTGGGGAGGCCGAGGTGGGCAGATCATTTGAGCTCAGGAGTTCGAGAACAGCCTGGACAACATAGCAAACACTGTCTTTACTAAAAATGCAAAAATTAGCTGAGCGTAGTGGCTCACACCTGTAATCCCAGCTACTTGGGAAGCTGAGGTAGGAGGATCCCTTGAGCCCAGGAGGCAGAGGTTGCAGTGAGCCCAGATCACACCACTGCACTCCTGCACTCCAGCCTGGACAACAGAGAGAGATCCTGTCTCCAAAAAAATATATATATATACACACACACACACACATATATGTGTGTGTGTGTATATATATATATTTCATTTGAATGACTGACATTTCATAGGTAATATGCCAAAAAGTTATTGAACAATTACACTATTGATGAATGTTTATGGAGTTTTCAATTTTTCATTATTAAAACAATGTTGCCTTGACTTTCTTTAGGCATATATCTTTGTGCACACATACCAGTATTTCTGTGTTAGTCCCATAAGTGGATTTGCTAGGTTTCTGGGCATATACATTTTGCATTTGGGAATAAACTATTCCACTATCCTCCAAAAAGAGCACTTAGTTTACAGATCTACAGTTTAAGAGCATGCCTAGTCTACTGACTCACCCTCATCAGCATTTGGGAGGAGAGGGATGTGGTTGAGAGGTTTATATTCTAAAAGGATGAACAATAATACCGCATTCCATTGATTTCTATTAGATTGGGCATCTTAACATATCTTTATTGATCACTTATTTTTTATTATTTGACTTGACTATCCAAAACTTCTGACCAGCTGAGGCAGGAGGATTGCTTTAACCCAGGAGTTCTCTACCAGCCTGATCAACATAGTGAGACCCCATCTCTAGAAAAAATTTTTAAAATTAGCTGAGCATGGCAGTGCTTGCATGTAGTCTCAGCTACTTGGGTGGCTGAGGTGAGAGAATCACCTGAGCCCAGCAAATTGAGGCTGCAGTGAGGCATGGCTACACCACTGCACTCCAGCCTGGGTGACAAAGTGAGACCCTGTCTCAAAAAAAAAAAAAAAAAAAAAAATTATGGGATCAATTTTTTGGGTAGTTATTTGTCTTTTATATGGACTAGTAGCATCTCCTTAGATATCATGGATATCAGCCCTTTATTGCATATGTTGCAATATTTTTCTCCAATTTGTTATTAACTTTTAAACTTTTTAATGGTATTTGGTTTAAATTTTTGTATGTTCAAATCTGTCTGTATTGTTATGTTTTACTTCATTGTTTTGTGTCTTATGGATGGAGGAGGCCAAGAGTATAAAACTGTTATTTTTACCTGTTACATATGCTTTGGAGGGGTTCATTTTTTTGTGTGTATGATTCAGAAAAGTAAACTAACTTTACTTCTTTCTAAATCAGTAGTTGATTCTCTCACTGCCACTTATTTCCCTGTGGATGAGAAATTCTCTTTTAATATACACATCAGTCAATTTCTGGATTGCTTATTATGTTCTAATGAGCTGTTTGTCTATCCCTGTCTATATCCTACTGCTTAATTAGGACAGATTTGTAATATACTTTTATTTTTGATGGGGCATTTTTTTTCACCCTCAAAATTGTAGTGGCTATTTTTTTTTATTTACTCATCTTGAGAAATTTAGTATATGCTTCTTGTATTTCATAAAAGTCTATTGATATCTTCATTGCTTATGTAAACATAAACAGATGCAAATATATAAGCTTTTGGGGCAAGTAACAACTGATATCAAGGGCAAACTTTAAAAGTTCTCCAAAACATAAATTGATTAACACTCTTTAATACCTTTCCAGACAAGAAAAAATTAAATTTTCCTATCACTAAAATGAATACGCCTTGCTTAAGTATTCTTAAACCTTGGCAGTAAAGCAAATGTTACTGCTATTTTTCCATTAACTTATGAGATCATTAGAGATATATTCCAGAAGAGATATATTTTGGCTCCAATACATAAAAATAATGCTTATGATTTTCAAGCTGTTTTCAGTAATTCTTTTAAGAGGAAGAAGTTCTGGTAATCACTACTCTTTCTAATAAAAATAATACAAAAACACAATCCAGTTTTACATTTAGCAAATTGCTCATAAAAAA